AGACAAACCTGTTCCTTCAGAACAAAGCAACTTGCTCCTTCAGCCACTCAGAAACAGCTGCTCTAGACGCCACGGTTCCATCCATCTGTCGTGACCCGGGACGTCTCTGGACTGAGGGGTCGGCGCTACGGTATTCTACAACCTCGGTGCCTAGAGGTCATCCAACCTCCCTGACCTTCGGACCCACGAAGAGGGTCTCCAAGAACGGGTGAAGAAGACACACAGATGGCGTCTGATGCTTTTTGATAAGAATCAACCTCAAAGCTCAATGCAAACCAAATTCTTTCCCCTTTTCACCCAGAACTCAGCTCTTCTGGATACGAAAGTTCTGAAAACATCATATGCACCATACATCACATCTCCTCCACCTAGATCCATCCATCACAGTAAAAATTAGTTAACTTGTCGTGTTTTAATTTTTTGGAAAATAAATTCTTACTTTTATAAACCTGACTCTTTCCTTAAATCAAAACGAAGTGTTTACAATCCCTGGATAAACAAAGAATCTTAGAATCTTGTTTATGTATTTAGCAGACGCTTTTGTCCAAAGTGACTTACAAGTGATAATCGGCATGTTGCCCTTGAGGCAAACAACAACAATAACAACAACTTGACATCAATCATGGAGAGGAGGGAACAAGGAGTGGACGGTAAGGGGGGGGGGGGGGTGAATGCAGGGAGGGTGCTAGTTTAGAAGATGCTCTCTGAAGAGCAGGGTCTTCAGGAGTTTCTTGAAAATTGAAAAGGAATCTTCTGATTAAACATACAAAGACCAAGCAGGTTGATATTCTATATTTATATAGAGTGTCACAGCTTATTGGTCATAAGTAGAGGTAATATATTAAGCTCTTAAAGCACTCAATTTAACAACTACCACATATACATACGCCTCTGTTTTCGCAAAGAATTCTACTGTTTGCTTCTGTAGGATTAAGTAGCTTTGTTATTCTTCCATTTTTTTAAATTTGACTATCTATCTGTCTGATCAATCTCAGTGGCTGCCTGGTGGGGTCTGGGTCCCTGGGCTCTGTTGTGTCCCCGGCGGGGTTGGTCGCCTCTGGGTCCCGGGTCGCTGGGTTCCGGACTCGGCCGGCTTGGGGGTGGGAGGCTGCAGGCGGGCCTGTGGGCTTGCAGCTGATGTCTCCCGGGACTCTGCTGGCTGCTGGTTGTGACCCCCCGGAGCAATCCTCTGCACCTCTCGGGGGGAGCAGGGGCTTTTCTGGTTACAGTCTCCTTGGGGTTCCTGGGCTCTGGGGCAGCTCATGGATCTCTGGGACTTGGAGCTCCCTCCGTCTCCTACACATCTTTAGGGGGCAGATCTGTGGCCCCTCACAGTCTCTGTTGGACGCTCCTATAGAGAAACCTTACATATACAAGCACAGGTACACACACAGGTGCTCACATGGTGCTCTCATAAGTATGGACTTGGGCATTTTCAACACACGTCTTAAGGCTGTGGTTGGCACTTAACGCACTGTGATTTATTATCGTGTGATTGTTCAGTTAAACAATGTTGATTTTATGTTTCCTCATCAGGTTGACGCAGTGATAGCTTACTCTAGTTGTACTGTTGTGTGTCCCTTTTTGTGTGTTTTTGTCTTTCTGCAGGTCTAGAAGCGGACTCTTGTTCATTGATTGTTTATTTTTGTGGAACCCCCCTACCCACCACCTCTTCCTTTTGTCTCTTCCTTTCTCTTTCACCTCTGTCTCCCTGTCTGATCAGATTTAAAAAGCATCCAAAGACACCGACAATAAAGTTTTAAGTATCAGGCATGACATTAAAGCAGAAGCTTTGATGCTCCACTGGACACACAGCAGATCTTCCGGTTGTTGTTGCCACAAACTAAACACGGTGTGCATGGGTGAAAACATGTTGAACATATGGTGTTGCAGCTTCCCTTTCACTGCCTGCAGGACAGGAGCTGAATATTGAACAGATATGTGTGTGTTGTGTGCTCCGCAGTGTGTGTGTGTGTGGGGGGGGGGGGGGGGGGGAGCACTGCCTTATTAAACTTGATCATTAGCGAACCTTTAAAAACTGCCCCTCTTGCCCCCACATGAGAGAAAACCTCCTGGATCCTGGCAGGGAGGCTAATAGCGGGGATAGTTTGCTCGTTAATGTGCGTGTGCAGAGATCAGGAGAATTTGTTACATGCCTGTCCTGCAACTCAACAATTACTCGGTGCCATTAACCATTTGTTACAGCCACCGTTTCTCGCCTTCAGCGTGGCACCTTGCTGATTACAGCGCCTTGGATCGATAATTAAACAAATTACAGCAGACTGCAGGGTCAATTTTTGCCCCACGTACACAAGGCTGAAAACTGCCTCCTGAAACACAACAGGAAAAAAATTGAAACCTCAATTAGAAAACAGGTTTGCAACTTTGCAGAGTTTTACGCAGCGCTGTGACGCACCTGAGAAGGAGAAGTCATTTGTCTCTGAGCAGGCGGTGACAGCAAACCTGTGACTTTTCTATTATTCTGCGACAGCCGGGGCAGCTGCTGATAGCAGAGGATGAGGAAAGAGACAATGAACTACATCTTCACACATGGGACTGATAACAGGAATCCCACAAGGGGATTTTATGAAAAGAAGCACAATGTTTCACCCATACTGAATGTACAGGAGCTCATTCCAATCCAATTTAACACTAAATACATTTGTTATTGTTTTTAAAGGAGACATATGACTTGTTGACCCACCCCAACTAAGACGACAAGCTGGCAAAGACAATATTAAAAAAATAAAATGTTCTCTAGTGACAACAAAAAGATTGTGGCAAAACTGGTGAGGAAGCCCCGCCCCTTGCAGCTTCAGAGCCCAGGTAGACTTCACAGTAGAAAGATGGTTCAAACCACTTTTGGCCTTAAAAATGTCCAGATGGTGCATCAGGATTAGTACCTTCATCAGAAACCCGTCACATCCAGTCCTGCCTGTCAAGTTGTGGAGATGAAAACTGACCCAAACGCAGGAGAGCAGGCACAGGATGAAGGTTGGCAGGTTTAAAATGAACTGTTTTATTGAACAATGGCAGGTGAGCTGACATGACGGGAAGACAAGTTGAGGATCTGACACTGACACGCACAAACAGAGGGTTTAAATACACAAGGATAAGACAAGGATCAGAGTAACGGGTGGGTAGGGTAATGAGGGGCAGGTGAGTGAAATGAACCCTTAAGGGGAGACAAGACACAAGTCTGCAGCAGGAGATTGAGCAAAAACATAGTACATTTCTACTTCCTCCTGGTGGAGGATCTTGAGGCGGTGAGGACCAATTTTATTTATTTATTAATGTTATATTGTCATATAATTACACAATAAAAAAACTGAGTATTGTATAATTTTATTAGCATTAAACAATAACTATAGTTATGGTTTAAAACTAGTTTTAGTTTATATTTCACATTATAAATTAATAAAAAATGTAAAATGGGTCACAGAAAGTTGCGACTGAACTGGCATGGTATCCCCTCATATCTCATATGCCCTCCGAGTGCACACCCAATCATCAATGTTTTGAGCCAAAATCTAAAACATTGATGCAACTTGTTCACTGTAGAAACACACATGAGAAATCATGGAGCAGGATCAGGATCAGCACCAGGATTTGAAGCTGTTGATTGACCAAATCCTGCGGTTGCTTTAGCAACCCCAAGCTACCACTTGGCATTGCCCCTGATTCTTTAAACAAAACTTCTAGTTTTTTCAAAGCAGCTGTTTGTCTGCTGCTTCCGATACCTTTACCTTGAGTTTGAGGTGAGGTCTCCACGGTGATTCTAATATGCCACTGCCTGCAGCATTAACATTTATTTTGATCTACATTCTTTTATATAAAACATTTTAGTATGGTTGGTGTTGGAGTTTCAAAGTGTTGTATACTTTTCTGAGCTCTTTAGTTTAGTAGTTTTATAATAGTTTGGTGAATCAATTAAATATTTTTGTCTGCTGGATATTTATTTTTCTTACATTTCTAAATTACCTAAGGGAAATTATGTGTTCTTAAAATATTATTTCTCCCTGACGTTAGCTTTATCTCTACCCTATTACTGCTGATTTGCCATCCCAATATGCCAAAAAGAGGAGCTCCCCCTTTGCTGAGTATCTTATTTATCAATGCCAGAGCCCCGAGGGCAGTTACATAAGAGTCTGTTTAATTATTCGGAAACATTTTACTTTCCTTCTAGCGCCTCGCTCTTGAAGTGGTGGGATTTAACAGTCAGCTCGCGCACTCCGAGCGGAGCTTCCTGCGGTACCGTAATGTCTCTTATCAGCGCAGCCAGATTTCCTGAAACGCTTTTTGTTGTTGTTTGCGCTGATTCAAGCGAGAGAATCAGAGAAACAGACAGAAACGTGAGCTTGTGTTGGCGACTCTGTTGGGACAGGCTGCTCTGGAGGGTAGAGCTGGGCTCATTTAAGGTGGACCGAGATTTTTACAGCACGAAGCAATACATCTGAATTTGAAGAAAAGGAGGGAGGGAATTAGTTTTTCCATAAAGATAAAAATCACTTGCCATGTAAACTGAAGACAACTTGATCAAAACGTTTTACAGGTTTGCCATCCAGCCATGCATCTTTCTTTCTTTCTTTCTTTCTTTCTTTCTTTCTTTCTTTCTTTCTACTAACAGATAAAACACATCATACAAATCAGGTATCGATCTCCATCTTTAATGTTTCAGTTTAATCACATTATAAATAGTTTAGTTTTATTGAAAGATGTCAAATAAATAACACTTGTCGTACATTTAGAATTTTATTTTACTTCTTGTTTAACATTCCATAAGATTATTTTAAATTAGGCGACTGACATATTCCTTCCACAGATTCATTTTTGGATCAATACAGTTGGGTCTTTTCGTGTCAGTATATTTAGATTTTAGAGGCTTTAAGTCCTTTTAGGTGATTATTTCCTTTATCTGAGTTTTTCCCCTTCATCTGTGCAGGAACCCCTGATTACGACCTTAAGGAGGCGGCAGGACTCGGTAGGTGTAGCGGACCCACTGCCTCCCGTCAGTGATGCGGTCATTCTGTGCTGCGTTTTATCCGCTATATAAAGAGCGCAGAGCAGCAGCACCTCACAGCTTCAGTGGACAGCTCCTAGGTGCTGACAGCTCGCGCGCTCACACACTTCAGATGCGACTCGTGACCGGGACCATGGAGGGATTCTCATGGAAACTTTTCCTTGTCTCCTGCCTGCTTGTTGTGCAGAGTTCCGCGCAAGATTTCGGACAGACGCAGTTTATTTGCACGTCGGTGCCCAAAGACATGGACTTGTGCACCGCCTCGATGCAGAACAGCGGGCCGGCGGAAGACCTGAAGACCACCATCCTGCAGCTGCGGGAGACAGTGCTGCAGCAAAAGGAGACCATTGTGAGTCAGAGGGAGACAATCAAGGAACTAACGTCCAAGTTGAGCCGCTGTGAGAGTCAAAGCCTCCCGGCGGCGGCGGGACCCGGCGGCAGGCGGCCGGGGTCCAAGAACACCATGGGGGATGTTTCTCGGGGCACCGCGGACACTCTGGCGCAGCTGGGACAGACTTTACAGACGCTCAAACAGAGACTGGAGAACCTGGAGGTAGGCAAGTTAAGGAGACAAGCGCTGACAGGTCAAAAGTTATTCCAGTTAATTAGTTAAAACTCTGATAATGTTGGAGCATCGTGCGTCTTTGGTCCCAGACAGCCGGGGAGACGCAGCATGCCGCCATTAAAAAGGTGTCACAGAGCAGCTAGTATTTATGAGCTGATACCAGCTTCTGATTAAGTAGAGGAACGTTGTCTCCCAAGGTCTGAAAGTGTCCCCGGTCCCCCTTTGACCTCCATGTGTCTCATTCTGTCTAATGCAGCAGTACAGCCGAGGAAACAACAGCGCGCAGGCAAACAGCCTGAAGGATCTGCTGCAGAACAAGATAGACGACATGGAGAAGCAGGTTCTGTCCCGGGTCAACACGTTAGAGGAGAGCAAACCGGGATCCAAGAACGACACCGACCAGCGGAACAGAGTGGAGTCCACACTCACCTCCCTGCACCACCGGATCACAGATCTGGAAAAAGGTGCGTTTGGATTGCAGCGCGCGCACAGGACTTCTGCTTTTTGCGCCCTTTAGGAGATTCCATGCGGATTTAAAACCTAGATTAGATGCAACTGATTTCAAATCTCTGTGTTGCTTTAATCTGAAGGAAAACAAGAGAAACGTCTCAGTATGGCGGTTTCAAAAAGACCCCGTTTTAGTGCCGCAGCCACCACGTTGCGCACAGATGTGAGGGAGGAGAAGGGAGAGCTGCATCGCTTTGCATATTTGTAGACCTGTTAGCGTCGTGGCTTCGCTGAGCTGATGTTTTCACTGCCAAACTCAAAACGACTGAGCTTATTTATGCACAATGACTCTTTGCTGCAGAGGTAGAGAAACTTTGAAGGGCGCATTTTGGAGCAGTTCGGGATTTCAACACGTGCAAAACGCGCGTGCTCACCGCGCAAATAGGGACACAGGTCTCATGAATCCACAAAATAAATACTAAGAAAATCCTTCAAAAATATGAATAAATCTGCAAAAACTCTGATTTATTTTATTCCAAATAAATCTGAGCCAAAGCAAAAAGAATTGATGACATCTTCCTAAAGTCTGTGTTTCAAATGAACTCAATTATGCAAAACCTGCGTATTAAAATAAACTGATGACTTCTCCTTACCTCCACCCACAGGCAAAGACATCAGACCAACAGATGAGTTTCAGCTGACCTTTCCCCTGAGAACAAACTACATGTACGCCAAAGCCAAGAGGAGCCTTCCTGAGATGTACTCCTTTAGCGTGTGTCTGTGGATCAAGTCCAACGCCTCGCCCGGGGTGGGGACGCCTTTCTCCTACGCTGTCCCGGGTCAGGCCAACGAGTTGGTGCTGATCGAGTGGGGGAACAACCCCATGGAGTTTCTCATCAACGACAAGGTAATGTCAGTCAGGATGCAGCCTGAGGTCAGAGTAGGAAAAGAGGTCTATTTGATCAGTCAGAATGAACATTTCTTTGCACTAGAAAGAGAGAATTGATGTAAAGGGGTGGAGGTGTTCAATAGAAGTCATTGTTATGGAGGAGAGGGTGATGAGGTGGGTGATTCAGCAGGAGGGAGAGGAGCATCTTTCAGGCTTTCAGATATTAATTCAGAATGAAAAGAAACACTTGTATCATCTCTCCAGGTGGCAAAGCTGCCATTTCTCATCAACGATGGGAAGTGGCATCACCTCTGCATCACGTGGACCACTCGTGATGGCATGTGGGAGGCCTTCCAGGATGGAGTGATGCGGGGAAGTGGCGAGAATTTGGCACCGTACCACCCCATCAAACCAGACGGAGTTCTGGTTCTGGGACAGGAGCAGGTGGAGACTCACTTTTACATGCACCCATCACAGCTACTTGTTCTAAATCCCTCACAAACAGCTTTTGGAAGCAATTCTTCACTAATTATCCGTTTTATTCTGGAGAAAGATTATAAAGGTGGAGATATTTGTGTAATGAGACGGCAGGGACTCATTTGAAGTGGCGCCAGTTAGAGTTCAGGAGTCTAATTGGGGTTTTATTGGAGTCTCTGCTGCTGTTTGGCCTGAATTTGGATGGAAAAAAGCACAACTGAAAGCTTAGTTTCTATCAGAATTCAAACAAAGCAAGAAGGAACATTAAAAATAAAGAGCAAACATGAATTGCAGGAGATTAATTCTGATTGGACTGAAAAATGTGCAGATTTAAATGGTTGTTTTAAGGATTATGGATTTAAGGATTTGATGGGAATTTTTCTGTGTGAGTTATAAATAATTACCATTTTACCCCTGGATGGCTTCCTGAATGACCTCAGTTTGGAGAAATAGTTGGTATCCTTGAGGGCTGATGAGCTATCGGCTAGCTGGAGCACACCAAAAGGGATTTATGTCATTTTAACTCTTTAACAAGACTAAACCAATGAAACATGCTGCTTTTTTAACTTCATTATATATATATATATATATATATATATATATATATATATATATATATATATATATATATATGGATAGAGATAGATAGACAGACAGACAGACAGACAGACAGATAGATAGATAGTCGTGTTTGTTTTAAAACTTTTAACGACCAGGACTTCCTGTGGTATCAGGGCTGAAACTTTTGAGTCCGAGAGTAAAAGCAGCTCTGCTTTCTAAATTTCACAGCAGTTATTGGGAGATTATTTTGCATTACAAGGTGTTTTTTTTTTCAATAAGAAAAAGAAAATTTTGCAACACTTTGACTCCAGATGCATCAGATGTGCTTCATTTAGCTGCTGGTGGTCTCTGCTGTGCTTGGACTAGCTGTTAGCATATCAGTCCTGTGGGAAAATCTCACACTGAGGCTGTTCATGAAGCTTTCTGCAACAGTATAGATGTAATTATGTGTAACTTTGACACCTAAACTCCCTTTAGAATACCCACAGATCCGTTTACGTGGGATTAAGTGTAAGCTGTTTCTAAAAACTAAAGTCTTTTAAAGTTTACATGTTTTTCACCTAAAACCAATATTTCTACCCCTTAATAATGTGAACAGATTAAATTAGGGTTCTGTGCCACCTCAATGATGCCAACACCTCTCTTTTTGTTCCACAGGACACGCTGGGCGGAGGCTTCGATGCAACACAAGCCTTTGTTGGTGAGCTCGCAAACCTGAACATCTGGAATAAGAAACTTTCCAGCAGTGAGATCTACAACTTGGCAACCTGTAACAGCAAAGCACCGGCTGGAAATGTCTTCTCGTGGACAGAGAGCAACATTGAAATATTTGGCGGAGCGACCAAATGGACCTTTGAGCCGTGCCGTTCCCTTAACTGAGCTGCTGTCCCGAAAGGCCTCTCTGTATTTCTGAGCTCTTTGTCGTTCCCATCCTCATTTGTTAGAGGCTTTCTGAGTTATTGGTAAGCTTAAATCTGGGATTTATGTCATTCTTAGGTATTCACGTGCAAAAACAACCACTTCTCGACTCGAGGGGAAAAGAATCGGACTCCTCCATGAGAAACATTTTGGTATCTGCTGTTTTTTTCATCCCTGGATGTTCCGTTGAAAGCACACCTGAGCTTTTTGTTTGGCTTACTTCGTCTTGGACTGGCAGCTGGCAATCTGCGCCTTACGTTTTGATGAATCACAATCGGAGTGAGGAGTTACATAACTGACACCCCCGCTCACACTTCCCTCAGGAGAGTGAGAGATTACGCTGTCCGTCCAATACTTGTCAGTATCTGGCTCCGTGATGCGATGTCTGAAGCGGTTCAGCTCCTAATGACCCCCCTCTTGCTTCCTCTTCCTCTTCCTCCCATCTACACCCCCCACCCCCTCCCTCCGGATCTTGCACTGTGACTGATGAAGAGGACATTTTTAAAGGATGAAGGACGATGCAAAGTCAGACTGTGGTACAAGTCGATCTGTAATCATTTTTTGCTTCAAGTGTTTCTGTAAGAATGTGAACTTGCCAACATTGCTACAAAGCCTGGGTGCCTTGGGCTGGTGCAAATATTCTGCACATTTTTCTTTTTCAGTTGCAAACGTTTACTGGTTTGTATTTGATTTTTCTGAGCCGGGTTGAGTTCCTCGTCCCTCTCATTGGTAAATGTGATTTAATTCCGGTTTGTTATTAAACATGATGTGTTTTTGGCAGGTGTTTGTACTCCTCTGTATTAGGAATGTTTCAGTATCTGTATAGTAACAGCATGACTGACGGAGTGCTGTGGAAGCATTGTTGAAATCTGCTTTACTATCTTCTCTGGGTCTGGGTTTTTTACTGTATTGTTATAAGCTCCAAGCATGGCACAACTGACAGATGAAGAATTTAATTTTTTTAAAATAAAATTGTGATACTAAATGTCACAGAGCATTCCTGAGTTTATGTGCACAGAAGAGATAATTCAACCAAATGTTTAAGTAGTTGTGAGAGAAAGCAGAGGAGGAAAGGCACTGATTTGATTTTTGCGTGCGTGCGTGTGTGTGTGTGTGTGTGTGTGTGCGTGTGTGTGTGTGTTTAAAATATGCTGTGCAACAACGTTCTGCCCACTTCCTGTGTCTTCTAGTGCAGATTAGTTCCAACTCCAAAAACTGTTAATCGATCATTAAGACTGAAGTTGCTTTGAAAAGACCAAATAAGCATCTGAGATCAGAGTTAAACAACACATTTAACCGTCGGACTGTCATAAAACATCAGATATGCTTCACGTTTGCCTTCAGGTTCTGCTTTTGCTGAGGCATGCTGTGATACCTCCATCAGCCGACGGGCAAAAGTGCCTCTTCACAATGACCCAGCTTAGGAAAATGCAAGTTTTTGCTGACTTTTTGCTCCAACTTCATATTTTACCACCAAAACTCGTTGTTTTAAATCCAACCAGCCATTGTTGTTATTTCTCTGCATGCACCAAAGGATGTTTTTCTAGTTTGCAGAAATTTATCCACTTCTAGATGTTAAACTTTGGTTTGTGCAGTAATTCATGAGCATGCCAAGCCTGTAGGTGGCAGTGGTTTCCAAAAATGTTGGATTCTCTGCTGAAAAACAAGGCAATGGGCGATAACAACCGTTAACTTTGCCCTTCCCCCATGGTCTTCTACTGAGTAGAGGAGTACCTGAGGTCTGTAAACACAGGTCTGTCATTTGGCGTCAGCTTTTTTATCATGACACTGCAAAACCTAAAAGCCAGATCCACGAGCAAATGCTAACAACGGAGAACTTTCCAATGTCCACCTTAGACAATTTCTCCACAGCTTCTCAAAGTTGGCGGGAGAAACTGTGCCAACGGTCTCTTATTTGCCAGAAATTTCACTAAAAAGATTAATAAATGTTGTATTTTCTTGGTACATAATTTAAAAACAATAACATTTCAGGCCCGAAGGCACCCCTTTGAAGGTTCTGTCTCCTTGCTCCATTCATTTCCTTCCTGTTACAGTTAAAATTTTACTGTTTCTAATGTGAATTTTTCTTACAATTTCCTTTTTTCACCATCACTTGTTTGTATTTAACAAAATTAATGTTAATTTCAGAAGCAAAACCATTTTGGGCAGAGGGAGTTTTAATGAGAAAAAGCATTTACATCATGCGGTTGATTCAGGAACATATGTCAATAATCACATCCTCACATCAACCCCCTAAACAAATATTTTCTATACATGCAGATGTGTCACAAACAGACGTATATAATATGTATGTTTTTGATGAGACGCACTCTAGAGTGAAGCCACCTGAGACAAAGCAGACTCGTGTTTCTGTGGTAAATCCGTTTTTATGTGAAGGGTTTTGTTTTGGAGAAGCTGAGTGAATAAAGACGTTACATCTCAGCTGACATCTTATTAATTCACAAGTTGTCCCTGGTGGCAGAAGCACAACAAAAGCGATGCTTCAGTTAGGAGCAGAAGGGTTTGAGTTTGCTAAGATCAGGGTGACAGAGCAGCTGCCTCTATGGTTTGGATGTTTGTTCAACAAATAAACACGAAGAGGAAAATTAACAAAACAAAGTTAAAAATCCACGTTGTTTCACAACAGATCCTTAAAGTGGATGGCTGGTAGCGAGGAATGTCCCACTGAGATAAACTCTTTAATTCAAAAGTGTTGGGGTTATTAGGAGCGAACAATTCGTAAGCTTTAACTTACTTTTGGATTCTTCAATAAATTCTGTAAATATGGGAATATTTACTGATTTATTAATTAATTAAGATATTCTTAGATATACGGGGCACCATTCCCCTTTAACCGGGGAAAAATTGAATCCAAAACTCTTATCAGTCTTTCTTGAAGTTCGTAGAATCCTTGGAGCAGAGACTTCTCTTCGACACAACAAAGCTACTGGAGACGAAAATCTGAATTTTATAACGTTTAATTAACAATTTGTCAAATGAATAAACAGTGGCATAGATGAATAATAACCATGTGATATAATAAAAGGATGTATATTCAAAATAATGTTCAAAGGTGTTTTGTGTGTATGTGTGTGTGTGTGTTTCTAAAATGGAGTCTGTATGCAAGATGGCTGACCCCTTTGTCTGGCTAAAGTGTGGGTGGCAACATGCACTTTAACTTCCAAAGCACTTAGAATCAGTAGTAACTTAACCTTAAATCACTCAAAACATTTCAAAGGATCATGAAACAACACAAAAGATTAATCACAAGTTAATATCTTTTAGTTTATCAGCCTGGCCATGGCCAAAACATTTAAAGATACCAAACAATGATCAATAAGCAGTTTATTTATTCAAAATGACCCGGCGGACGTGTTTTGGGAGCGAAAGAGGAAGACAAGAAGCTACTTTTTAAGCAATAGCGCGGTTTTATTGCTTATTCTGGACTATAGAGGAAACGGGAGGAGAAAAGGAGAGAGAAAAATGAGTTTTCTGATCACCAGAAGAGCGAGGCGTCCCTCCCTCTTTTGATTTGACGGTTCTCCGTGTTTCTCCGCAGTTTTCAGCGTCATCCGTCGGTTTGATGCTTTCTCCGTTGTTTGGCGTTCTCCGTGAGTGTTTCTCCACGGGCTGGACACAAAGAGAACGAAGTTTCTTTTGTGCTGAGTTTGACAACTTACAGCGTCTCTGAGAGCTGGATGGAGTTGCTGCTTTCCTTCGCAGTTCTGTGTCCTCAAACATCAGCTGGAGGGGAGCAGAAACGAGCAGATCTGATGGGCGTGCAGTTTAGTTTTTTTTTAGCGGTCCCGTGGGCTCAACTTGGGCACTTAGAGCTTCCGCGTGCACAAGGGAGTCGGAGCGTTCGACAAGCGTGTCCTTACCGCCAGGTATCCTGGGCAAAAGAACGAGGTTCCTTTGTCTCTGCTGAAGATTTATGGTCTTAGTTCGCGGGAAAAGCTCCACGGCCTCCCGCACATGCGCAGAACGTGTTTCTGGTATTAGGCGGTGACATCATCCCAATGCTTCCGTGTGCAAAGCATCATGGGAAATGAAGTTTCTTGGCGCTGATGTGGTTATTTGCTTTTCAGAGCAATTTAAGCACAGTCATTTTGGAGAAAATCACTGCATAGTAATTTCCTCATGAGGTCAGACCCTCAACAAAAGTCTTCAGAAGCCGGGATTGAACCAACAACCCCTCCAGTTGAGAGTTATCTACTCTTCCTCTAAGCCAGTTTAAAGTGCTTTTTGTTGAAAAGTTAGGATTAATAACCATCTTACCACATGAAACCAACTTCATGGCCTGCTGATTTTCTCCCAACCACTTTGCTTCTTAAGATTTTTGACCAAATTGGCTTGTGTATTGTGGTTTTTATAAACATATCTCTCCAATCTGGCTCTATAATCTCTGTTTTCAAACATGGATTTTCTAAATTACCCTTTATCTCTAAAATATTGGGAAAAGTTGTAGCAGATTAACTGACTACTTTTCTGGAACTACACAACAGTTCTGCCAAATCCCAATCTGATTTTTGTGAAAAGAATTCAACAGGAACAGTTTCCAGTGACATCATGATGGTTGCAGACAGCTTGGATTTTACAGTCTTATTACAGTTAAATCTTTCTGCAGCTTTTGACACGGTTGATCACAGCACCTTAATTAACAGACTTCGTGACTTGGTGGGGATCTCTGGAACTGTTCTAGACTGGTTTAGATCATACCTTTCTAACGGAAGTTACAGTGTCTATATAAACCCAATCATGTCAGATTCAAATGATCTGTTCAGTGGGGTACCCCAAGGCTCTGTTTTGAGTCCACCCTTGTATATATAAACCCTCTTTGACAGATAATTAATGGTTTTCATATGTCTTTTAGCACATATATGCAGATGACATTCAGCTTTACTGCTCCTTTAAAGGGGAACTAGGCGGTTTTGGCTTGCTTTAAGAACCCCCTATCGTCCGTTTGTAAAACCAAAAGCAAAACCCATCGAGTTGATGTGCATTCGTCTTTTTGACAGCTTAATCTAACTTCTGAAATGCCTCCCTAGGCTTCCTTGGCGTCTACAGGAGTGATTCATCACTAAATTAAACAAATCAACTGTGTTTATGATCTAAAACATGCCGGAAACTAGCTGGAACCGGACTGCAGTGCCAGATATGTCAGCTCAAATTTTTCTAAGTACCAACAGAGCGGCCCACCACTCAGAAGTTGCAAGTGGAATATTCTGGCCACAGGGGGCGACAGGGACTGGCTTGAAGGCCACTCCAAAACATTGGTCTGAAACTATTTTTATCACTTAAAAATATTTCCAAACTGCGAAGGTTGTCATCAAAACATGAACTTGAAATGGTTATCCATGCCTTTATCTCCTGCCGTCTAGATTATTGAAACGCACTCTTCACATTTGAACAAAAAGCCCTTGACCGCCTTCAGTTGGTTTGAAACTCTGCAGAGAGGCTCCTGACTGGAGCAAACAGAAGAGCACACATCACTCCTATTCTAATGTCTCTGCACTGGTTACCCGTTAACTTTAGAGTTCAGTTTAGATTTCTGACTATAACTTTCAGGACTGTACATGGTCAAGCTCCTCCCTATATTACTGAACTTTTAAAGCCTTATGCTTCAACCCGAACCCTCAGGTCATCAAACCAGAACCTTCTAGAAGTTTCAAAGATCAGATACAAAAGTTGGGGTGATCGCTCCTTCCAGGCACCCCTACTTTTGAAAGATCTTCCTTTATCCTTGTGTAGTGTTGACAATCTAGAGACTTTAAAAAAACAGCAAAAGACCTTTTGATTTAAAGCTGTTTTATCTAAATCTTTTGTTTTAACTCTCATTTATAATAATTTTTCATTTGTTTTATGATATTTATGATCTTTTAATAATTTCGTGACATTTTCCAATTTTTGTTTATTATATTTGCTGTTTTGTTATTAAGATCATTATGCTTTTATGATTTGTTTTGTTGATCTTCACGAAGCACTTTGTG